TTCAAAATAATTTTTTAAAGCATTTGATGACTTACAAAAATGTTAGCGAAAAGTTTACTTGCTTGCATGATCCAGTCTCTTCCAGGTAAGAATTCTATATGAATTCCACTGCTTGATATGAACTATTTAAATTACCATACAGTAGATTTATAATAGTGCAATAACTTGATAGATGATACAAAACAAGTCAGGTTTAAAAAAAATATGGACAGTTTGTAGAGACTCTTATTTAAAAATGAATTGCATATAATTACACACATGGACTCCTGGTGTGGTGCTCTATGATCCGTACTAGACTTCAAACCACAAGGTTGGCACTTCAAATCCACCAACTACTCCTTAGAAGCCCTACACAGGGTTGCTATGAGCCAGAACTGAGTTGATGGCACTTAACAATAATATGGTATTTAAAATTAGATAATGTTTTTACCAACTGTTTATTTTTAATATTTAAAATACTTAAACATTTCCTTATCTGAATCTTCAAATAAAGTTTTACAAAATGAAGTTGAAAATAAAAGCTACTAGAGTTCTGTTAGACTTGTTCTTAATCTATAACACATTAAACAAAATATTATCTTAAATAAAAAGGTGATGTTAATTCAAATTCAAAGCAACTGAACAGAAGATTACTCCGAAATAACTAAAATTTGGAATTTTACAATATATCATGAGAATATTTTTTGTATTCAAGTTCACATATAACAATTTAAACAAATAAATTATTGCCCAGGATAGTACAATTGAGTCTAAGTAAAAGAATGTATGATTAGCTGAAAAGTAACACATTGTGAATATACAAATGGTATTTTTAAACTGTTTTAAAACAATTTTTTTAGTAAGTAGGTTAAACATTCTTTCTGTCTGAAACTCACTGATAAAACTAAAATGCTCAAACAGCTTTGTTCCCTTAAAGATAAATTCAAATCTAATTTATATTCCAATTATTTCTGTTTTAACTATATGGTTTTATACTTTCAAAAAGTTGTTTATTTCCTTAAAACACAAATGCTATGGAACCAAACAATGAAACTTATACTGAAGTATCATAAAAGTTCTGAGAACTAGGGTACATGATAATTGTATAATTTTATATATATCCAAACAAGATTTCCTTCCTCCCTTGTAGCATGTAATTCTTTTTCATGCTGTCCTTATCTCTCTCATAGGCCATTACTTAGGTTTGTTTCATATATTGTGATGTGAATTCCTTTAGTTTTTATTTAACTCTGCCTTTTTTTGAACTTAACAATGTGTCTTGTGAAATAAAAAGCAATCTATACCTATGTGTTTAAACTGAATCCTATCCATATATAACTTGCGATGTCAAATTCAGCTATAGTCTATGATAAAGGGAAAATATGTAGAATCTTGATTTCTCATTTTACAAGTTATTCTTATTTATTTAATAGATATAAGTGATTGTCTTATGTTACTGAGAAGAATAATTTAAATGCTTTATATTTTCCAGTATCTTAGAAAAAATTTCCCTTAAAATATTAATAACCATATGGAGGGATGACATGTGTTAAAAACAAACAAACAAACCAATGAAAACAATTATACATAGCCCTTGCAGCTCCTGTTCTGAGTAGCTGGTTGCTACGAACTTTCTGAGATAAGCCCAGTCCAATTTCAAGTCACAACTTTTCTCCAGAACATACTGAGGAAGGTTGCTGAGCACCAGTTACAATCCCACTAGCCTGGGGAGGTTCCTGACCTTCCAAATCAAAGGTCGTTTGTTTTAGGTTAATTTGACAAAATAAATGTAAATTCGAGTTAAAGATTCCTATAAACTCTAGAAGTTGCTGGGTGGTGCAAACAGTTATGCTGACCAAATTAAATGCTGATTTAAATTTTGATTAGGTTGTTTGATATCATGCAGACACACACACATTATACACATATATAATTATGTATGAATATGTATGTGTAAAAGTCCTGGTTTGGCTCTGTAGGATAAGCACTGGTCTGTTAACCACAAAGTTGGCTGTTCAAGCCCACCAGTGTTCCTTAGAAACCCTATACAGGGTCACTATGAGTTGGAACTGACTTGACGGTACTTAACAAGAATATATATATATATATATATATATATACACAGACATATGGAATCCTAGTGTGGCACTGTGGGTTAATGCACTGTACTGCAATGTCAGTTTGAATCTCAGGGTTAGTGGCTGAACAGCACTAAACAACATACATATATATAATATATATTTTTATTCAACTCTGCGTTTTTTGTGCTTAACAATGATTCTTATGAAATAAAAAGTGATCTGTACATATTTGTTTAAACTAAATCCTGTCAATATATAACTTGAAATGTCAAATTCAGCTATATTCTATGAAAAAGGGAAAATATGTGGAATATTAATTGCTTATTTTATGTGCTATTACTATTTACTTAATAGGTATAAGTGATCATCTTATGTTATTACTTATGCTTATTAAATAAATGTAACAATATGTGGAGTCCTGGTGTGGCGCTATAGGATAAGTACTGGATTGCTAGGTGGTTTGAATCACAAGGTTGGTGGGTCAAACTTACCAGCTGCTCTTTGGAAACTGTATACAGGGTTGCTATGAGTCAGAAGCAACTCAACAGCAGTTAATAACAGCAACAACAATATAACATATAAATTGTAAATATATTTAATCAGGTATTTCAATAATGCTTCCAATGGTTAGAAAAATCTTTAAACAATGTAATGGATAGATGTATTCTAAACATATTTTAATATTTAGTTCAAGAAAGAATGTCTTGAGAAACTTAACTAATTATATCTATATCCAAAATAACAACTATCTAATATTAAATAGATCATATTGTTACTCAGAATCTAAATATCCTCATCAGAATATCTGGGCTAATAAAATTGGTTATGTTTTAGTGAGGAGCTAAATAAAATAGCAGATGCAAAAGTCCTTTGAAGATGAAAAACATTTTACAAATATATATAGCATTGCCCTAATAACCTTGTAAGATAATATAGCTGTAATATTTGTAAATTATTATATGATAAAATCTTAGATATAATACCAATGAAAGGATTTATGGTCCAGCGAAAATTCATGCTATTGAAATTCAAGAATAAATCTAGCACTACAGACACATTTGTATTTTGAAAAACTTCAAAGAGCACAAGCAAATTTTTAGGGAAGGAGTCATTTTGTAAAAATTAGGGTAAAAAGCATTTTATTTACAAGGTAGCAAGAGATGTTTACTACCAAGTGTGGTAACTAATTGAATTCTTTTCAATTTAAGCTACATTTTGCTATTATATGGGTACATATATTAAAACAATAACTTTTTAAGCCTAGATGTTGAACACTTTGAAACAATTTGTGCGTTCATGCATATGATTTGCAACACTAGCAAAAAAGAGAAGAAAAAAACTCTTATGTAGAAAATAGAATTTTATATCTACATTTACAGAATATTCCAAGAGATCTCATTGATAGTTTTATCACTTTGAAAAATTACTTAGCCAACTAAAAAAAAGTTAAATTCTGATAATTTTCAACTTCAGAAAGGATAAATTATTGAAAAATATGCATAAAACCAAAGTTCCATCTCAATGCCATTAATACCAGTTTAGTATAGGGTTAAGTATTATATGAGGTATTAAACATTGCACATAGTTGTACACTTAGGATTTGACATTATAGCTAAACCGTTGCTCAAAATGACTAAAATATTGAGAGAGGAGTTAAGCTTATTAAGAATGGAGAGGAAAAGAGAAGTATAAAGGGCCATCTAACTCAAAGAAGTAAATGCTTATTTCAAACAAAAGCATATCACAACTACTCAAGTTTTTTAGTAATTCACAACCCCAAATAAGATATACACCTCTAATTTTTCTTCTTCCCTACTGTGTGGCACTGTGGGTTAATGCGCCAGACTGCAAAACCTTTTGAACTGTAAGGTTGATGGTTCCAGCTCACCAGTTGCTCCTTGGAAACCCTATACAGGGTCACTATGGGTCGGAACCGACTCGATGGCACTTAACAACAACTGCACTGACCCAATGGTGATACAGCACATAGTTGGAACCAGTATGGCAATATGATATTTATTATTGTTTTGTTTCAGAAGTTATACCATCTGGATTTTATGAATATGATATATAGTAATTGATATTCATTACTTTTGATAGTGAATTTTATTGTAAGTATTATCATGCCTTATTAATACTTTAAAGAGCATTTAAAATCCATGTTTTTAAATTAAATGAAGTGTTGAAAAATTCAGGGCTGAGTAATAGGTACTAATTGCTAAATGGATATAATTCCATTTTAGGTTATACCTGTTGTACTGAGTAAAGAATTGCTTCTCTTTTCTACAAATTTAAAATAAATTGATGACTCTTGTTTTAGAAATGTTTACTTTTCTTTTTTTGGTACTCAGAGATCATTAGGATATATTTGTTTCTTCAATTTTCAAGATGGTTAGGAATAGAAAACTGTAAGGAAATAGGCAGTTATATATTTATGACTATGTACAGTAGCTGGTATTTTCTAATGGCAAAATTAAAATAAACTAATTTTGGAGCATTTAAGGAACCTTTGGCAATCTGGCCTACTGGGTGAGAATACCATTTCAAAAGCATTTGTGTTACATTACAAACAGCCATGAAAAGGCCTATTCAGAGCAGAGTTAATCTACATCAAAGCACAAAGAAAGTCACTTTTCATTTTAAAGGATGGCACAACTGGCATAAAAGGTCATTAAATACTAATAGACCCACTTTGAGGTATGGTTGCTTAATGGAGGATTAGATAAGACAGACACAAAGACCAACACAGAGGAAAGCTTTTAAGGTTTGAACCATGCAACATGAGAAGAGAAAATGAGCAAGATGGAAAACAAACACTTACTGAACATTGACAATTTTAAGTTTACAGAATTGTTTTATGTGATAGAAAATTTGATCAAAATTATGACAGATTTCATATTTAAGCAACAAGGCTGTCACTTAAGAGAATTAGAAGTGATTAGTTTATACATAAATTTTGTTGGAACTCATCTTCATGTAGTATAACAGACCATTGTTCAGGAAGTAGACAAAAACTATACAGTTGAGAAATTAATTAGGAAGTTTTCAGGATGGATAGTGTTGTGATAAATTATTTTGAACCTTTCCAAAGTTTGTATCCGTTTATAAAAAGAGATATATTTTCTTTGATCTGATGTGGTTCTTTGCACATGTGGAGTGTACAACATACTAAAACATTTGGGGGGTCCCCTATGTACATATACATATTCATACACTATCTATATATGCCTTTTTAGATGTATACACACTGTAACTCAAAGAAAATGAGTTAACAACACAATAATCATTGTTAGACAATCCAAGTGCTGAAACCAGTGACATTAATATGTTAAAGGACTTTTGTGTTTCTTATATTTCCCAGAACTAAGAATATAATTCCCCTTTTTTAAAAAAAATTATTTCATTGCAACACTGATTGTCATAGATAATCTTTGTGCTTTTGCATAATGCCCATTCTAGATATAACAGATATATTTACTTACAACATTGGACATTTTAATAAGCATGCTGGAACACAGGCAGGACCATAGAACCGTGCACAAAATATTGCGAATATGTTTTCCCCTACTGACTGTAACACCAACATGCACCACTATCATATTTGGTCCTGTACAGCAAAGAATGTATAGCTGAAGCAATCATGGCTAGTTTCACTTGCAAGAATGTATTTAGAAAAGAATGCCCAGTAGAAAAAACAAAATAGAATGAATGAGACAAAATGTCCCCCCAAATAAAAACAAACAATATAAAACAACAACAACAAATTCCTCCCAGACATTAAACACTTGGAAATTCTGGCCTATTTTCATGGAGCACGTTTTCCTAATTTCACATCATGCAGGTCTTCTCACAAATTCCCAGCTGAGTTGCTTACGAGACCGCTATTAGTGCCTCAAAGCTTTCCCTAGCCACTGGAAAAGCTCATCTTGATAAAGCATTTTCCAACGCACATTGGCTTCGACAGTTTCCACAGCTCGTGAGAACGAAGCAGCAGCTACACCGTCATAGTTCTTCATGAAGTTCTTTAGCTGGAAATAGAATTTTATAAATGATCAATTTATTTTTCTTAAAATGAATTCATGTCTAACATATGTGTACAAGAATCTATTTGAGATAAAGTGTGACAATCAATACAGAAGATACATGTAATATTGTGGAGCTAAGTTGGTGTTAAAGGAGCTCTGGTAGCGTTATGGTTACGAGTCAAGCATCAGTAGTTAGAAACTACTAGTAGTCCCGCAGGGGAAAGATGAGGCTCTTTGCTCCTGTAAAGATTTACAGCCTTCAGAGTCTATACAGGGTCGTTATGAAACAGAACCGACTCCACAGCTCGTCACCACCACCGCCGGGATGATAATGAAAGGCAATGTAATAGATCGTGTCAGTTCGGTTTGATTAATTGCTCTTGGAAATGAAAAACAAAAAAGGTAAATGTAAGAGTTTAAACAGCTCCAATTTCAACTTCTTGCTTCATGAATAAATATTAAAATGGACAGATTTAATTTATGTTTTCATAATCTGCTGATGGGATAGTAGCAAAGACCAATTCTAATAAGAAGAATATACAATGTAAGACATAGTCTCAACAACTGAATAAAAGGAGTTCTGGTGTGGTGCTGGGGGTTAATACACGGGGCTGCAAGATTGGTTTGATGCTCAAAATCACTGGTTCAAGCTCCCCAGCCACTTATTGGATACCCTATACAGGGTCGTTATAAGTCGGATACACAGCAATTAACGAAAGCAACAACATAAAAGTTGTTTATATAGAGAAAATTATTCTTTCTCCTCTTCAAATAAGCAGCATGTGGGCTTGACACAGTCGTTAATGGCAAGGAAATAGTAAGGTTATTTGGTAGTGGGAACAAATCACCTAAGTAACAAGATTTAGAAGAAGGGAGGAGGAATGTGGTCTCTTTCACTAGAGAATGTGAGCAATGAATAAAAACACAGTTATAATTGTTAAATGTTTTGTCAGAATTTTTATTGATATGATTTTCTTTGGAGAGTTCCCATTCTTTGGGTATAATCAAGGATTAACTTCAAGATTAAATACTAACAGTTTTTCTTTCTGTTCCATTTGTTTTAAGAAACTGGCAACCAACCAACAATTGCAATGCTAATAGACAAATGTGAAAAATCAACTTGTAACACAGAAACATTATGAGTCGTAATTAGTGTAGAGTGTGATTCATCACATGGTGGGCGCCACATGGAGGATATGCCAGAGTTGAAAGGAGGAAAATGGGGAAATGGAGTGCATCAAGATTGGCTCAGGGGAAGGGAGCCATGGAGAGGGAATTTAAATGTAGTTAATTATACCTTTCTGAGTTAATTTAGAAATTAGTTCATGGATAGCTTAGTTTATGACAGAGTAACTTTGCCTAGATATGGAAGTACAGTGGCTACATAGGATAAGCATTGGACTGTAAACCACAAGGTCAGCAGTTCAAGCCCACCAGTCACTCCACAGGAGAAAAATGAGGCTTTCTGCTTCAGCAAAGTTTTAAAGTTCCCAAAATCCTGTACAGGGTCACTATGAGTTGACTCCCTGGTATTTAACAACACCAACAACTTTGCTTATATGGTACTAATGAATTTTCTTATCTGCAAAGTTTATTCCTTACTTTTCTACGAAGTGCTGTGTCCTGTAGTATTAGCAATGGGTACTCATATATCAGAGCTATATATCCAATACAACAGTGCTAAAGCTAGATATAAGAAGCTCTGGTAGCGTAGTGGTTACGAATCGGGCTGTGAACCTCAAGGTCAGAAGTTCGAAACTACCAGCTGTTCTGCAAGAGAAAGATGAGGCTTTCTGCCCCTATAAAGATTTACAGCCTTGGAAACCCTGTACAGGGTCGCTATGAGTCAGAACTGACTCCATGGCACATAACCAAAGCTATATATAACATACATATAAGAAAGGCAACAAGTGTGTACAACAAAGAATACTCTCTGCCTTCTTTATTAAAACTGATTTGCTATCTGAACAAATGTAAACATATTAAAGAGAAGAGAAGGGGCTGGGATTTATTGACGATCTCCAATATTCTTGCCACTGAGCTCCATGTATGCATCTGCAACATGAATACACATACAATTTCCCCAGGGAAGTCTAATGGAAGCACTTAGCTTTAAAAAAAATGTATTTATATATATAAGGAACTCTGGTATTGCAGTGGTTACGAATTGGGCTGCAAACCGCAAAGTCAGCAGTTCGAAACTACCAGCTGTTCCGCGGGAGAAAGATGAGAATTTCTGCTCCAGTAAAGATTTACAGCCTCAGAAACCCTGTGCAGGGTCTCTATGAGTCAGAACCGACTCTACGGCACTTAACAACAACAATGTTTAGATAATATTGAATCTATATCCTTGAAACAGTAAATGATAGATTTTTATCTAAATTCCAAATTATGTATTTGCACTTATTACAAAAATAAAACATTGGCATTGTTTACAAAATGCATGCCAATTAGTAAAAAAAAAAAAAAAAAATACATCTACTTCTTTTTAAATGTGTTCTGCATTATTACATTTTTGCTTAGACTTGCACTGACTAAGCCAGATAGTGGTAAATTACCCCTCAGCAACTTTGACTTTGCAGAGCACCCTCTTGACCTCTTTGTGGGATAGCAAGCAGGTCTGAACACAGGAGGTAAAACTCAAAGTTTCCCCTCAAAGGCAAACTATGGGTTTGAATATGAATGTGCTATTGACCAAGAATAGTAGGTCGGATTATCCTGGAAGAGAATTCTGAATAGACAATGTAACTGATGGGTATGGGAATTCATTTCTTAAATCACTATTTAAGAACATTAACTACTTCCCTCATGAGCTCAGAGAGCCTGAGGTGACTCATATGCATCTAAGAGTAGCTCGTTCAGTTCATTAGAACACATCTGGTCCACTTTCCATATTTGGCATAAATTGACTTTATTCCCTGTATTTCTCAACAACTCTTATGGCAAACATGCAGTCACACCAGTCATGTAACTGACCCTGCAGGATGATCTCAGTGTCTCACAGACCCCCGTCTCCTTTTGGAGGGCATGGGATCTATAAAAGGCATGTGGCATTCCAGTTCTTATTTCTTCAGCAGTTTGGTAGGTATTTTGCTGCTATTAGTTTTTGAATAGTGTTTGCTAAATATATATGCCATTTTACCCTATTATTCAAACAAGTTTTAGCATTTTAAAAAAGAGCCCTGATTTTAGGGTACCCTAGACCCCAACATCACATAATATATTTGTTTATGCAGTGAACTGCAAAACAAAATATACTCCTAGTAACTATATAAATGAATACATTAGCATTATCCAGTTATGATGCTTATATATTCAACATTAAAATGTAAATGTTATAGCTGTGATACATAGGATCTATGTTCTTCTATGAAAGTATTGTTTAATATGTTCAAGAGCTAGAAACACAATGATTAATATGCTAGAAATCACTGCTTAATGAACATTTATGTAGAAAAACGGCAAGACCCCTGCAGTTCTGTGATGTTGTAGTTCCATTAATTTAAAATGAACTAAATGATGGACTGTTACATGGAGAAATATTGTTCAAGTGACAAAAGTCATGTAATTAATAGAAAATTGCCAGTTTCAGGTACTAAAATGTATTTTGGGGGAAGGTATCGTGAAACAATTTCAGTTTCTCCTCTGAATGTTCCTAAACTGATGGGGATTATTGAACATGAATGACTTTTCTGAATTCATAAAGATGCTAATTCCTTTTTGGTATATTAGTTGTTGTTGTTGTTAAGTGCTATTGAGTCAGTTCTGACTCATAGTGACCCTGTATAGCGTTTCCAAGGAGTGACTGGTGAGCTTGAACCACCAACTTGGCAGTTCAAACCAACTTTGAAGTCCAGCACATTAACCTGCAGCACCACTCCAGGACTCCCTTTGGTATATAAACCCTTGGAAATAGAATATGGCATAGGTGCATTAGGTTTGTGATTAGGAAATTCATGGGTTATTAGAGAATGGAGAATGCATTTTCCTTAGTCCTCTCCTATTTAAGCAAGAGTAGTTATTGATAATGCAAATTAAATACTCCACCCAAAAAATAATGGTCTTCAATATTATTAACTATGGTTAATAGTTAATATGATGGTGGTGGTGGTAATGGTGTGCTGTGGAGTCAGTTCCAGCTCATAGCTACCCTGCATAGAGTTCCTGAGGCTATAAATCTTTACGGGAGCAGAAATCTTCATCTTTCTCCTGAGGAACAGCTGGTAGTTTTGAACAGTTGACCTTGATGTTAACAGCCTGACTCATAACTACTATGCTAGCAGAGCTGCTATGATTACATGATAAAAGTATGAAAAACGCCTTAGGCAGAAGACATTAAACTATAAAGAGTCAGTAGCTCTGAGGGAAAGGATTCATCACTCATTCCATTGATAGCCTTTATTGTGCAGTTGGTTATTTTGTAGATAATAGAATGAAAGCCACCATTTAGTTTCAAATTTGAAACTATATCTTTCATAAAGGGGCATCTTGGGATATCTAAGTAAAGTGTTAAAAATTAAATAAATATATATTGTTGTTATGTGCCATCGAGTCGGTTCCGACCCATAGCGACCCTGTATAGGGTTTCCGAGGGTGTAAATCTTTACGGGAGTAGAAAGCCTCATCTTTCTCCCGCGGTGCAGCTGGTAGTTTCGAACGGCTGACCTTAAGGTTCGCAGCCCGATTCGTAACCACTACGCTACCAGAGCTCCTTAAATATATATATGACATATAATTTAAAAAAAAACAAAAAACACCTGAAATGTTCATTTAAAGATGTGTTTTGATGGCCTGGGTTTAATTAAGGAAAAAGAAGAAAGATATAGAGAGTTAGAGAGAAGGAAGAAGGAAGAGGGTCAGGAGAGGTGAGGGAGGAGAGGGAAGTGGAGGGGAGATCAGGTAAGAGGGGAGCCTGAAGGGAGAATGAAGGAAGGAAGAAGGGAAAGGGAAGGAAAGCAGAGGAGGAGTGTTGAAGAAGAGAGGAGTGCAAGGAATGGCATTTCGTTTCTAGTGTTCATTTCAATGACTGCACAAGTGTGACTAGATGAATCTTCCTTCACAGATTATTGGGGGAAAAAATCATGAATACTTCATTTAAATACAGGGTGGTGGTGGTGGGGGAAACAACTGGAAACCATCGTTAATTTAATTGCTCTTTCTTTTTTGTCTTATGGATAAGAAAGAAGTCCTCTTCATTTCTCTTCCTTTATTTTGAATAAATAAAAAAGTAAACTATATGCTGGGACTTTCAAATTCACATTACTCAGTGTTGAGAACACACATAGATAAAAATGGAAATTCAAACCATCACACAATCAGGGATTTAGTTCAGTTTAGCTCAAGGCATGAAAATATTCAAGTTAGTACATGGCAGATTAATCATAGGAACTAGGCAATATAAAAAGATATTAAGAATAATTCCAGGATTAATACTTCTAGAGGTATGCTACCAAAAGTGATTAGTTTTGGGTGACAGCATCACTTACTCTGTCAGTGAAAACTGAAGAAATCAATATTCACAAAGCCTGCTCTCAGCTATATGAGTATTTTATAATGGAGAAGAGCAACAGAGGAGAGAGCAACAGATGTTTGAAGTCTCTCTCATGTTAGTCAACTCAAATTATCTATATTTTACTTCTTCCTCCTACTTACTTACATCCTTCTCATGATCACATTCCTCTTATTAAAGAGATGAAGTACTGATAAAAAAAAAAATCTGGTTGGTTTAAATTTCCGGAGAAATAAGCCAGAGATGACTAGAAAATATTATATAATTCTAAAACTAGATGTTGTTGTTAAGTACCGTGGAATTGGTTCCAACTCACAGTGACCCTACACAGGGTTTCCTAGGCTGTAAATTTTTATGGGAGCAGACCGCCTCATCTTTCTCCCGCTGGTCGTTTTGAACTGCCGACCTTGAGGTTAGCAACCCGATTCATAACCACTATGCTACCAGAGCGCCTTAAAACTAGATATTAGTCCTCAAAAAATTAAGAGTATTTTAATTAGTGAATTTCATTTATGATTACAACAAGCAGAGTTTTAAGCAACCTGTTAATCACAATAAGTATTATTGAATACTCACAATAAATTTGAATTCAGTCAGTTTAGCACAAGAACATGAAGCATCAGTGTACAAGCATGACTATAAATCAGTGGGACTAATCCCTAATTCTAGACTTCAACACCAACTTTGATCCTTTATATCCAAATCAAGAGTTATGGGCAAAACTGTTTTGCTCCTCAGTGTATTTTAAACTGGGTTCATAGAATCAGCTATAGAGCGGATGATTTAAACAAAATGGCTGGAGAAGTTTTAGAGTTCCTGGGTTGAAAATCATTAGATTGAAATACCTTTTCAGGACAGAAACTTATTAGAGAAGGAGCCCATGTGTTGCAATAGGATAAGCAATGGACTGCTAACTGAAAGTTAAGTGGTTTGAACCCACCAACTGCTTTGTTTGTGACTTTGTAGAAAATGAAAGGGTACAAATCTTGAAAGGAATGGTTAAAGTAAACATATAATTTCACATGCTAATAAAAGAAAGTCTTAAAATATTTACCTCCTTGAGTTCACCTTCAGTATTAAGATACTCTGTAACTCCACTGATAAGCTTGGAATTCATAAATAATGCTTCTCCATACCTCAAAAGATAAAAAAAAAAATTCAATATAGGTAGTAATTTAAATATTATTATAAGCATATTTTAGAGTTCTTCTCAGGGTCAATATTGATCAAGGTTGACTAATGGAGTCTTTACTGCCATTAAAAATAATCAAGGTCATTTCTCTAGGAAACTACAGAGAGGTATTATAGCTATGGGATACTACCAGATCCCATGCGACTGGGCTCAAAGTATTTCAGAAAAGTGTATGAGTGTTGTAAATGTACACACGTTGGACTACTACATAAAATGTTGGAGGTTCAAAACCATCCAGAGGGGCCTTAGAAGTAAGCCTGGCAACCCATTTCTAAAAAGTCACAATTCTGAAAACTTTCTGTACACATGGGATGGCAAAGAGTTGTTATCAATTTGACGGGCAACTAACAACAAGCTGTAATAAATACAAATAAACAAGCAAAATACTTCTAAAATTGGAATTTTGTTGTTGTGAGGTGGCGTTGAGTCTGTTCTTACTCATAGTGACACTGTACACGGTTTCCAAGAAAAAGATGGTGTGTTTGAACTGCCGAACTTGTGATCCAGTGCTGATTCTACAGTACCACACGAGGCGTCCATAAAATTGGAATTAGGACTAAACTTTGTAGAGTCCTGGTGTGGAGCTGTAGGATCAGCACTGGACTACTAACTGCAAGGCTGGCAATTCAAATACACCACTCACTCCTCAGAAACCCCACACAGGGTTGCTATGAGTCAAAACGGACTCAAAGCCACACAACAATAACAACACTTCCGATGCTTTCTGGTCAAGCAGTGGTTAAGTTCTCTGCTGTAACCCAAAAGGTTAGTGGTTTGAATCCACCGGCTTCTCCAAAGGAGAAAGATTTTGCCGTCTGCTTCCATAAAGATCTACAGAATGAGGCAGTTCTACTCTGTTCTTTTAAAAAGAGTTGCTATGAGTCAGAATTGACAACAGCAGATTTTTGGTTTATTATAGTTTTAATCCGAAACGTGAGAAAAATATATTTTAGTTGTGTCAATTTTAAAATCACCAGGCTCATTTGCTGTTGAGAAAATGAATGTACCACAGAAAAAGAAAGATGTCTGTAAGAGCCACTTGGACTTAATCAGGATATCAGGACATACATCAGGATATCATGCAGTCATAATTGTGTAACTTTGGTTTGGTCAGTTATAAATGACATTGGCATTTCCTTTTTTTCATGCTTAGAAATGGAAACAAAATTTTCAACACTGCTGCCAGAATGTTAGCATATTCTCATGTGGTTATTGCAAGAAAGTATCCAGTTATTAATTTGAATTGAATAACTCTTGTACAGTAAGAATAATTATTTGATTCAAGGCTAGGAACAATTTGTGTCTATAAATTGGGGAAAACGTCTCATTTTACTGATTTGTCGCTACTGTGCTAAAGCTACACATCACAGACTGTACTACTTTTAGGATTAAGGTAAGTAAACCAAAAATAAGACTGAGTTTTTCAAAGCAATGGTCCAGTCACTGTTACAATAGGCTTTATAAATGTTGCCTTTAATTTTGTGACCTTAAGTAATTTCGCTTCTGGAGCTTCAGTTTTCTCATATAATAAATGAGGAGGCTGATCAGTATGATCACCATGATTTGTTGTAATTCTAATATTTAACTATTTCGTGGAAAAAGTTAGAAAAGTGAAGGCATTCCCAAAAAACAGAAATAATCACGTCCGTGGTTAACGAAGTGACCTACTATAAAGGAATACAAATAATTCTTTTTAAAAGAGTGGTAACTGTTTTTGCTTTATTTTCACTCAGTGATAAAGTACAATCCTTTCTTTCAAAGTACTGCACTATCTAAGGCGCCTTTGGTAGCATAAGGGTTATGAGTTAGGCTGCTAACTGCAAAGTCAGCAGTTCGAAACTACCAGCTGTTCCATGACAGAAAGATGGGGCTTTCTGCTCCCTTAAAGATTTACAGCCTTGAAACCCTGTACAGGGTCGCTATGAGTTGGAACCGACTCCAATACACTACCACCACCACCCTATCTAGCTGAGGAACTAGACATGTAAATAGATAATCTCTATTTAATGTGGCAGAGTCCTCGAGTAGTGCTGTAGGATAAGCACTGGACTGCTAATCACAAGGTCAGCAGTTCAAACTCACCAGCTGTTCCTTGGAAACCCTACACAGGATTGCTTTGAGTTCAAATTGACTTGATAGAACTTAATAACAAATACTTAACTCTGACCTTGCATTCAAAGTAACTTTGCAGTTCAGTGCACTAACCCACAGTACCACAAGAGAACAAACATAAATTGTGAGTTTGGGAGAAAAGAAGAGACAAAGAAGCTTAGATTTTAGATATGGCATAGAGACAATGAAAGTTTTGTAATCAGAAAAAGTCACATTGGCTTTTTAGAAAACTGCTTGGGACAAAGGGAAGAAGGTTGCATGTGTGTTGGGGTTGATTACAGGGGCAGTAAGAACCAGTGCTATTGGATGAATACTGGAAAGAGATAAGACCCTGCTTTAGGGCAATGATATCAGAAAAAGACCGGAAGAATCCACGAAACAATTTAGAGTTGTTAAATTGACAAGACCTCATTCCTGGTGTGGCGCTGTAGGTTAAGCATTGTAATACTAACAACAAGGTTGATGGTTCAATTCCACCAGTCACTCCTTGGAAACTCTATACAGGGTTTCTATGAGTTGGAACTGATTTGATGTCACTTAACAACAAGTGAAACTGGTGATATAGGGCAAAGGAAAGGGAATCCCTATGGGAGATATTCAGGTATCTGGTTTGAGTAATGAGTGGATACGGGAGAAAGATGAGGCTTTCCGCTCCCATAAAGATATGGTGGCGGTGGTGGTAGTTATGTACTGTGGAGTTGGTTCCAACTCATAAGGACCCTGTTTATGGTTTCTCAGGCTGTAAGTCTTTACAGGAGCAGAAAGCCTCATCTTTCTCCCACAGAACAGCTGGCAGTTTTGAACTGCACATCTTGAGATGAGCAGCCCAACTCGTAACTACTATGGGACTAGCGCTCCTTCTATAAGAGATACTATCTTGGAAACCTTATACAGGGTCATTATGAGTTGGACCTGACTCAATGGCACACAACCACCACCACTACCATATGCTTGGTAAAGTGGAAGGTCAGAAATGAAGAAGCCCCCCAGTGAGATGGATTGACATCATGGCAACACCATTGGGCTCAAGCATAGCAAGAGTTGTAAGGAATGTGGAGGACCGGGTAGTGTTTTGTTCTGTTGTGCATAGGCTTGCTACGAGTGAGAACCAACTTGATGACAACTAACAACCGTATGATTAACTGAGAAAAGGAATACAGCAGGAAAATGATAGGTTTAGCTTTCTATGTGCATTCCCAGAGACATTCACAATGGGCAGTTGGGTATCATAAGGTGAAATTTGGCTGAAATGCATGAATTAGAGCTCTAGGCTTGGGAATGGCTGAAACTATAGTAGCAGTTGCCCACTAAAATCAGGGACAGTATATAGATTGTAAAAAGACAGAGCTCCCACGAAGTACCATATCCAAAGACTGACAGAGGTATAGAAATAGGTGGAGAAGAAAATGTATTTATCAAACCAAGTTCTACTGAATTTGAAGATACATTGAAACCTCAGTCATTTTACTGTAATAGAGAGCATTAATTTTTAGAGAAACAAATTAGGCACACCAGGAACCAAATTTATTTTTGTTAGAAACTAAACTATCTATGTATTATACTTCATCTCAAAGCTACTATCTAGAGAAACTCTTATGGATTAAGTATTTCTGCACTTAAAATGAGTGCATACATTAATTTCACATTGTGTCTGATAATCCAATTTGTTATTTGCATGACAGTAAAGCAAACTCTAAGCTTTCAATCAATCCAAATTCTGAGCTGAAAATGGAAAAGAGCTTTTAGAGCTATCTATGCTTTCTGACAATGAAACACCTGCTCATAAAAGTGTGTTTTAATATGATACATCCATTCAAATAGAATTCCTTATATCAGCAAATAATAAAAGCATGTTTTAAAATAATAAAGTTTATAAGGAGGATTCAAAAAGTATGTGGAAAAGTGAAATAAAAAGGTAATTATATTTTTCCATGAACTTTTTTTAAGAAGCCCTCTAATATATACTAATTTTTTAAGATCAGTAGGTCTGCTTACTTCTGGAAATATTTAAATTTGAGATGAACATGGAACATTTATATGCTCTATAATAAATTTAGTTTTTAAATGCCACAGAGATTATCAGAGTAATAAATTAGCATATATTATGATATATTTAAATACATAATGAATTTTTTTTTTTTTTAACATAAAGCTGAAGAAATTTTACCAAGAAACAAGCTATCCTGGGAAGTCATTTTACTGCAACGAGAATTTTACAGTGACTCAAACTGATTAATGTTCCTTTTCTGCTTCATGATTTCATTTCAGGTAGGTATTGTAAGGAAATTTAAAATAATTCTATAAAAGTAATTAAAACATCTCCCACATAATTTCATATTTGGTTTGTAAATAATTTTTCCTATAGCATCTTAAGGACACAGGTTTTATGGTACAATTTATTTGAACCTTGGGCAATTTGATAAATTGTCAGTAAAGTTGCTCCATGGAAACTTTTGTACTCCCACCTTTACATATAAAATAATTAATGTTATCACTTTAATGAATGAATAATGTTATGGAATCAATAAAAGAATTCTGAGTTTTACTTAAGTGGCAAATAACAACCACTTGGTTGCTATTTTTGTTTAGTATTTTTAAATGTAACACTGTTTCTGGATTTTGGCTATCACACAAAAGTTAGGTGCTTTATCACTTATCACACTTAGTTTATTCACTCAGATAAGAAAACTTAAATTCTTATTTCTACCTGGTATTTAGTATCTTCCATTTATCTCTGAAAAACTTCCAGGCAAGGTCTCGGCCATGTGGATTTCGAGCAACATGAATTATGACATCAATTGCATCTTGATCCAGCACTACCTCGGAATTTAAGGACAGATTCAGAAGCCTTCAAGAAAAGAATTGTGGAAAAGTTTAGTTCAGTGACTTAAACCCTTTTATAATCTTCCTATAATCATTTAGTTTGTCATATTCTTCAAAAGAGTTGACTGTCAAGTTTACTAATATAAATTTATCTGAAAAAAATTTTTTGTTTAAAAAAGGAAAAGAGTCCAGCTCGTAGTGTTTCCAAATAAATACATTAACTAAAGGAGCTCCGGTAGCGTAGTGGTTACGAATCGTACTGCAAACCACAAGGTCAGAGGTTCAAAACTACCAACTGTTCCGCGGGAAAAAGAGGAGGCTTTCTGCTCCCCTATACAGCCTTGGAAACCCTGTACAGGGTCGCTATGAGTCAGAACCAACTCCAGGGCACATAACAACAACAACAACACATTAACTAAACTCTGAAAAAAATCTAGGGGGTGGAGAGCTCACAAAACTGGTTTAATGATGCAATACTCACTTTAATTTTTTTAACTAACAAATGTTATTTTTAAAATAACAAATGTACTTCCTTCTATAATAAAGTATTTTCACATGTATGTCTCTTTCTATATATAACTATAATTGTAGTTGTTGTTGAGTGCCGTGGAGTCGGTTCCGACTCATAGCGACCCTGTACAGGGTTTCCTAGGCTGTAAATCTTTACGGGAGCAGAAAGCCTCATCTTTCTCCTGAGGAACAGCTGGTAGTTTCGAACTGCTGACTTTGAGGTTCACAGCCCAATTCGTAACCACTACGCTACCAGAGTTTAGCAAAGGTATAACTATCTAGTCTACTAGCCCTACTCATGGTAATATTTGTTCTACGCTTTGAGAAGATATACTTTAAAATAAGTATCTTTTATTCAAAAAAAGACGTTTTTTTCTATGCTTTAGAAAGATATATTCTAAAGTAACTAGCATAAATTCAATGAAATAAAAACAACTTCAGAGCAAACAATTAACACAAAAATACTTTCATTACACATTTACAAATTATGAGAAAATTACTTGACCCACCTATTTAATAAATTCCTGTCATCGCTACAAGTTAAAGCTTCCAATAATATTTTCTTCTCAGAAACGGCTGTGGTGGAGTGGAATTTCATCCATATGAATTCCCAGACATCCTCATCCAGCAGTGAAACTCCTGTACAGTAGACTATGTCTCTAACATTGAGTGGTATTCTAAAGAAGCAACCCAAGGTAGTTTTCTGTTAATTAAAACCTTCATAGTACTGATTTTAATGACAGACCCTACTTTATTATAGTCAGTTATAAAAGATGATTTTATTAATTAGATTTTACCCAAAAGGAAATAATGTTATATAATAAAAATATTTAGAAATATAGTAAGTGAATGAAAAGAGTATGCATTATATTCAAAGGTAGTATTAAACACAAATATTATTTTCATTTGTGAAATTTTACTTAAATAAAATTAATAACAAAGTGTTTTTGTAATCCAGTATAAACAGAATGCTTTATATTTCAAACTACATTAATATACTTATTATTCAAAAATGTTGCTCTTATATCTACTAGACACAAGACTGACAAGAACACTCTGGTTGAAAGACTAATTAATATGTTGAATACAAAAATATTATCTCCTAAATTATGATCATTTAAAATTTTACTAACAACTCTCTAAATTCTGGAAGCTAGAAAAACAACATAGTTGACAATATATAAGTAGAAATCATGAGAACATATAAAACACTTTCCCCTACCTTTATAAAAATTGTCACAGAAAATATATAATTATACACTAAATTTTGACTTTGACTCCAAAATACAGTGTGATAGTTGAAAAATCTTTTTGAAGATTTAACTATGCTTGGCTGTTCAAAAATTGGAAATGTTCACATTTATTCTTTCAAAGCAATTGTTTTATTAAAAGGTATTTCTTCAAATTTCTGTATATATTTTTACCACATTTAATAAGTACTTAAAATAATTATCTGAAAGGACACTTCAGTATTAAACAACAAATAAAACTTAAATAGTATACTTCTGCATCCATAATATTCATTAACTTATCTTAAAACTTCTTATCTATATTTCACTGTGGTTCATAAAAAACAACGTGCTTTGTCTGGATAACAAAATGCCATAATCCATTCTAAAAGATTTCGGACCTTGTTGATTAAAACACTGCTATGTGTGGAATCCTGGTGTGGCACTGTGGGTTAATGCACCAGACTGCAAAGCCGCTTGAACTGCAAGGTCGGCAGTTCAAACTCACCAGCTGCTCCTTGGAACCCCTATACAGGGTCGCTATGTTTCGGAATCGACTCGACAGCACTTAACAACAACAACAATGTGGTGCTGTAGGATAAGCACTGGATTGGTAACCAACAAGGTTTGCAGTTCAAGTCCACCAACTACTCCTCAAAAATCCTATACAGGGTAGATATGAGTCAGAACCTACTAATGGCACTTAGCTACAACAACGTTAGTGTATTTTATTAGGTCTCTGGTAGCATAGTGGTTACGAATCGGGCTGCGAACCTTAAGGTCAGCGGTTCGAAACTACCAGCCGCTCCGCGGGAGAAAGATGAGGCTTTCTACTCCCGTAAAGTTTTACACCCTCGGAAACCCTGTACACGGTCACAATGGGTCGGAACCGACTCAACGGCACTTAACAACAACAACATATCGGCCACATGGCATTATAAGAAGCATCACACAAAATCCATGGTTTCCAGGAGTGGCAAAAACTATCTCTTCTTACAAGTAATAAAAGTGATTAGAGCTTTTCTCTTTGTTGTATTTAAGTATCAGAGGTAAGCAATCTGTCTCACTCTTTCATTTTATTTTTTTGGTCTGTTTGATTTATTTTTAAAGAAATGAAATGAACAAAAAGTGGAACAAACCACCAAAGATCTTCATATCTTTTTTTTGGCGTCTTTCTTAATTCTGCTTGGAACCTTTTGTAGAAAGTCCCAGTAGCCTTCCTGATAGTTGGCGATATATTCTTCCCCTTGTTCTGCTTATGAACAGCTCTCCACACAGCAAACTGAAATCACTAAGGAAGCACTGCCACCAGATTTTGAAGAATGAGATTCTTATCTTAATAGATACAATCTCAATAGATCCAAAATGAGATTACCGGGATGACATCATCTTTACTAATTTCAATAAAAAAGTTAAGAAATACAGACTTTCTCTAAATCAACTGTTATAAAAGATAGTCATTGACTCCAAATATTATAGGTCACAAAGCATAGCACTATAGATTACCATGACATTGGTCAAGAGGTTAGCATGACAATACACAAAAAATAAAAATTACTAATTCATCAACCCATGCCTATATTATTTTATATTAGACCTAATAGTAACAACTTGCTTTCTTTGATAAATATGTTGTTGTTAAGTGCCATCGAGTCGGGATCCGACTCATAGCAACCCTGAACAGGGTTTGCAAGGAGCTGCTTGTGAGTTAGAACTGCCGTCCTTAACGGCCCACATCGACGTTGCAGTTTACCGTATTAACCGGCAATGCCACACCAGATACTAAGATATTAATATAGCAAAGGGAGTATGGGGACAGAGTCAGTTGAGTTAGGCCTATTACTGTCTGCAGAACCAGTCAGCAATTTCAAGTAGAAAAAGTACGTAGAAATAAGGCTTTGCTTTACTGCACTTTGGAGACACTGTTGTTGTTGTTTAACAAATTGAAAGTTTGTGGCAAGCAATTCTATTGGTACGATTTTTCCAATAGCCTACACTCACTTTGTGTTTCTGTATCACATTTGGGTAATTTTGATAAATTTTCAGCTTTTTTATAATGCCACGGAACATTAAGGAGACTACAGTATAGTGTAAACAGAACTCTTATATATACTAGGAAAAAAAACACAATAATACGACTTGTTTTATTTGATATTAGCTTTATTGCAGTGGTCTGAAAATGTATCCACACTATGTATGAGGTATGCCTACATAGAAAAGACAAAAGAAGTGAAAAAGCAGTTCAGAAATTGCTTCCTAGAAAGAACATGAGCACCATATATTATATTTTGGGTGTTGTCGAGTTGATTCTGACTCACAGTGACCCTACAGGATAGAGTAGAAGCACCCTATAGTGCTTTCTAGGATGTAATCTTTACAAGAACACATCACTAATCCTTTCCTCCTGCAGAGTCATTGGTGGGTTTGAACTGCCAACCTTTTGGTTATCAGTTAAATGTGTAAACAGAGCTTCTTACTATTAAAAATCTATATATATATTTTTTTTTTTTTAATCTATATTCTTGTTACACAGTACTTACTGTGGCTGATGCTAAGCAGTGTAAGACATATACACAAATCAATAAATGGTTTGGTCCATCCACAACCTGGCCTCTGACTAAAGGAGCATTGGTGGTGATGGTGGTGATGGTGTGTGTTGCAGTCGGTTCCAACTCTTTGTTGTTACGCGCCATGGAGTCAGTTCAGACTCACAGCGACCCTGTACAGGGTTTCGGAGGCTATAAATCTTTACTGGAGCAGAAAGCCTCATCTTTCTTCCACAGAACAGCTGGTAGTTTCGAACTGCTGACCTTGTGTTCGCAGGCCGATTCGTAACCACTACACTACCAGAGCTGACCTTATATAAGGCTGTAAATCTTTATGGGAACAGAAACTTTCCTCTTTCTCCCGCAGAATGGCTGGTAGTTCCAAACTGCTGACTTTGAAGTTAGCAGCCCAACTCATAACCAGTACCCTACCAGAGCTCCTTAGATGTAGAATAGAACATTTCTTCACAGAGCTATATATTCAAGGACGTAGTCCTGGTGATGCAGTGTGTGGTCCCTAAGTATAAGGTTTGCAGTTTGAACCCATCAGCTACTCTGTAGAAGGATGTGGCTGTGTGCTTTCACAAAGATTTATGGGATTGCAAACCCTACGATGGCAGTTGTACTCTTTCCTACAGTCACTACGAGTTGAAATTGATTTGACCCAAAATACCCACTATCATCGAGGCTGTTCTGATTCCTAATGACAGACTCCCATTTATCCTGTGGCATGACTAGTAGGCTTAAACCGCCGACCTTTAGGGTAGCAGCCTAATGCCAAACCCAGAGTGCCACCAGGTGGGTTTATAAAATCCTGGTCACACAGTGGTTAAGCATTTGGCTGCTAACTGAAAGGTCTGCTGTTTGAACAGACCAAGAATTCAGTAAGAAAAAGCTATGGCAGTCTGCTTCTGTAAAGATTACAGCTATGAAAACTATCGGACAGTTCTACTCGGTCTTACAGGGTTGCTACAAGTAGGATTTGATTTGCTAGTAATGAGCCCTGGTGGTGTGAACAGGTACAGAGTTGGGCTGCTGGATGAAAGGAAGGCTGCTGAACTCACGGAGCTGCTCTGTGACAGAAAGATCTGCCAATCTACTGCTGTAAAGATTACAGTCAAAACAGTCCTGCACTGGCACACATGAGTTTGCTATGAGTCAGAATTGATTGGAAGAATAAACAATAACAAATTTAAAATATATATATAATTGATATCTTTAAGAGGCTACTATTAGCAGGCTCCAGGCCTCTCTAGTGGTCAGCAGATTAATAACAGGTGTGGTTGGTGATTATGTGCCGTGGAGTCATTTCCGACTCATAGTGACCATGTACAGAGTGTCCGAGGCTGTAAATCTTTACGGGAGCAGAAAGCCTCATCTTTCTCCTATGAAACAAATGGTAGTTTTGAACTGCTGACCATGAGGTTAGCAGCCTGATTTGTAACCACTACACTACCAGAGCTCCTTAATAACAGTGTAGTGAACCTATAATGTTCTAAGAGATGAACTTGTCTCAAAGGTCACCTATCACCTGCTTTTTAGTAACTTTTTTTTTAAAAAAACAACAGTTTAATAAATTGTCTTTGAGCAATATTCAGTGTTGGCAAGAAAAAATTTCCAACAGTAAAAACCATTCTGTTCACCATCATTGAAGGAATACTTGTTAAAACACACACAGCCTCTGGGTCATTGAAAAGGACATAGGTTAGCTATGTACAAAAGTCACAGTGCCATATGGCATGGTATTCATAGTCAGAGCAAGGGGATAAAATTCTGAAAGGACATCCAGCAATACAGTGTTGGATGAAATGACAGACCACCCATGAAGGAAGCAGACACTAGGTGTCTTGGGCAGAGAAAGCCATTTAAGGTACTACTGCACAGAACAGGGGCAGGTCCTTC